TGCATTTGCCCGGACAGACTGTTTGCTGATGAAATCTGGGGTTAGATACAAACGTTTGACATTTGCCAACTTGCTTTATCCCTGATACCGACTGGTAAAATATCCAACTACCTATTTTAGGGTCTAGTGTAATGCTCTACAGTCTGTTCTGTTCTGATTTACGCCTGTGAGACATCCTCATTAAATGTAGAAGATATGAAGCTGTTACAGGGTTTTGATCACAGATGTCTTCGTAACATTACTTGTGTCTGGTGGAATCACCAAGTAAGTAATGCTGAGGTTAGACGAAAGGTAATTCGGAAGATAGGGTAGTCGATTGATAAGGTTGTAAACCTTCATCGGGTGGGATGACTTGGACATGTACTGCACATGCCGAGCTACCACCAAGCTCAACATGCTATGCTGGGAGGAGTTGTATTCGGTTGAAAGAGGGTTCACGGTGGCTACACCAAGGCGTGGCACCAGTCGATGATGTTTCTTATTGTTGGTCTGAGCTGTATGGGGAGATGAAGGTTGCATGGGCTGGAGTCGACGAGACGAAATGAATCAGTGGTTGAGAACTCTTGGTGACATGGCTGATAGTTGGTCTCAGTTGCGCGGATTGATTCACTCTTTGATGTCTTCTAAAGCTTGAATGTTTTGACTGATCCTAGTTTATAAACTTCCTCTCCCTCTATGTATATTTGTCTACTATAATTTAATTCTTTTCTTATAAATTTGTTCTTTGCATACTGTGGTGAAGTGTGGTAACTTGAACGGATGCACTTTTGTCGAGGTTATTTGTTAATTTTATTTTGTTTCTCTGTATTCCCAGAAAGTGATATAATTAACACAAAACTGGCATAAAATTGACATAAAACATTGAATAAAACTGTGTTTTTTTTTATCTCCCAGCAGAGATTTCCATGTGAATTAATTCGTAAAATTCAGATTTATATTATCACCTTATGTGTCAAAAACGTAAATCTTCACATCGAAAACGTGGCCGTGTAAATTCATTTCCATTGCTTCTTACCGATGAAAATTTATTCTTCCCTTATTATGCTTTGATAACCTAGACGACTGTGGCCTATATTTTAATCTGTTGCCAAGACCTCATGGCAGCGATTTCAAAGATGAAGCTTATGTCGTAAACTCGCCCACAATTGCTGTACTTCTCAGAGCTAGGTAGGAAAGTACAACTCAGCACCCCTTCACAAGTTACCCTTTTGAAAACAGCTGGTAGAAATCAGCCTCAGGAACAATAATAATGATTTAGAAACTTGGATGAGCCTAGTGAGATTAAATTACTCAATGATTAAAACGGAAAAAGGAGTAATATATTTAGTACTGGGTGGTGATTGAAGGGGAAATGAAAGTTTGAACCGTGACGGCATTCGAACCAATATTAGCCTACCAAACCATGTTTATCTCAGTCAAAATGATAATATATTTACTTTTCAGTAGAGCAGTAGAGTATATATATATATATATATATATATATATATATATATATATATATATGCATAATCTCAACTGATTTCAGGCCATATCGCCGTCATTTATCCAACATAGATTTCGACGATCAGGCGAGTTATAAACAAGAAGCATAAAGAAAGATAATTTACTTACTCAAGCAATTTTTGACTGACTGATTGCAAGTATGTTTGTGCCAGCAATTTCTTGATTCTCTTGAGTTGAATTGTATTTACCCGGCCGATAGCTACTACTTTGACGTGGTGGTCAGGCTCACTTATCACAATAATCCAACAAACTATGCTGGTAGTCGCTTCTTCTCTCGAGGCCCTACCATATCAGAAAGGTCTTCGAGATAATAACGGTAGGATGACAAACAGTCATCCATATAGTGTACATTTTTATGCTGTGATAGTGCTCCGAGGGGAAAGTTGCACTGCTGGCTGGCATATCTGACAGCAGTTAGGTGTTTCTCCTGAATGATCAGCCGTACCACGCTGATGCTGTCCCTTCCCTATGAAAAGGAGAGGATAGAGGAGGGCGGCACAAAAAATAGCACGCTCCCATCACACAGCGGCATGCCGACGCCCGCGACAGTGTTTTATGCAACAAACCTTAAATCTCACACTTCCATTAAAGCAATATTTGACCGGCCTCAGAAAGATATCCTCTGGGCTCTGCGGTCTTGGACTAACCATTGTTTTTCAGGCACCTCAAGCAGAACTAGCCTTCCACAGCGTGGGCAGCAGCGTGACGGTTGCCCTCACAACTCCGTCAGCACTTAATATGACTCAGATCCCTATCCACCTTCCACAACTTTAACGACTGATCCTCCACGTTTCTCGGCAGATAATCCTACATCATCATTAATTTCTTCCATCTCTGCAGGTCTTGACAACATATGAGTTCACGAAACAATATCCGTGGTCTTCTAAAACCACACTACAGCTTCCAATGTCCGCACACTAAATTGCGAGTGCATCTCCAAAATGAAAGCACTAACGTCTTTTTCACCGAGCAATTGGCCAGACAGTTGTCGGATCAGGGCAACGCCATTCATGTGGAAAAACCCTGTAGCCATCCCCAGCATGCTATAAGAACAGCATTGAAGACCGTAGCTGACTCTGAGAGAATGGTTACAATGAAACAGTGTATCGCAGCAACTTCGTCCGAATAAATAGATGCACGCCAGCACATCTCTGCAGCCTTTACGGAATGACCGTGAACGGTTGTGGTTCGCGAAGACTGAAGAGATGGAAAAGGCAGCAGTGACAATTAGCAGTAGACAGTTATTCGAACTCATTAAGGAAGCTGCATGGAGAGGAGGGAAAGGTCAGCGGTTAATGAGACTACAGTGGGGGAAGAATGGTGTATTTCGCTCGGAGAGTAGACGACTACTGAACTGTTAAGTGGAACACTACGAGGAACAGTTCATCTGGCTTTCAGCTACTATTCTGTTGCTTGCTATCGAGTTGTAGCCTGAATGGAACATCGGTATGGTATCTCTACCTCTGACGTTTGCAGAAGTCAAGAAGGCTGTAGGTAGCCTGAAACCTGAGAGGGCAAGGGAGCTGGATGGACTAGTACTAGAGGTATATGAAGACGGTGTTGGGGGATTATTTGTCATGCTAACTGTAGTACTAGTTGGTGTATGTGAGTGAGATATGATCCCCTCTGACCGGTCTCATTCACTGATTGTCACCATGTTGAAGAAAGGTTCGAAATCATCCTGTGATTACCACCCAGGATAATCAGTGTGACAAACATTGTATCTAAGAGTCTCAGGTTTCTGATCATTCGACTTCTGAGTGTAGCTCAGGAACGGCAAATACGAGAGAACCAGGCAGACAGAAACGATTCAGACCTGGTTGTGTGTGTGTGTGTTTGGGCCAGGGCTTCACACTCCACCAGGTTGTGGAACTCACACGCACCGCCTGTCGATACTGTCTGTATTTCTTGACGTCGAGGTGGCATTCGGCTCCGTTGATCTTGAGGTCTCATGGTGATGTCTCTTACTGAAAGGGGTACTGAGTAGGTACATCCTTCTATTTGAGGATGTGTGTGTTACATGTAGGCTATGGTGAGATGAGGTATCAGGTGAGTTATGTATGTTGATTGGTGCACATTAAGGATGCCTACTCTCTCCATTCCTATTTAATTTAGTCGTAGACTTACTTTTGGAGGTCTTCGTCTCGTCATGAGACATCACCGGGATTGGCGTTATCACAGGATAGCCCTTGGTATATTTCAAGTACGCAGACGACATAGTTGTGTTAGGTGAAGACGCTGAGAAGATGCAGATTTTTCTGAACATGTGAGTGGGAGTTTCTGTGGATTTTTGGTATTGATTTCTCTCCACCCGAATGCGAATTGTTGGTGGAGGACTGATCTCCATTGGTGTCCTGTCTGAAAATGGTGAGTGAAGTAGTTCAGTGCGTTGACCGGTTTACTTGCCTGTGAAGTTTGATGAGCTGTGGTGGGTCAGTGACTGGTGAGATCTCTGCGTGGATACGAAAGGCTTGATTGGCTACTGCCAACAAACAGGAATTATGATGCCACCGTGATATCTGATTATCGTCTATTAGTGATGGAGTGTACTGTACTGCATTTCTGTCTATTCCTCTGTGATTGTGAAGCGTGGTCAATCAAAGTGGAGGACCTGTGAATGCTTCAAATGCTTGATCATCGTCACGTCGTCGCGTAGGCTGTGGATTATAGTGCCTTTATGTCAGTAACGTAGAAGTTGGGTGTAGGGTTTTAGGGAGAAGAGGAAAGTCAGTTGATGATGTTTTGAACCTTGGTTGGTTCAGGTGGCTGGGACATGTATTACTCATGCTTAGTCACCATCTTCTTCATCGCGCATTGTTAGCTGAAGTTGGTGTAGGGTGGGAAAAAGCTGAAGGCTGATAGACTAAAATAGGGTATCAGTGCATGGTGTCTTTGACTGCTGGTGCGACCCATGTATGGAGATGGGAAATTATCGGTTATGACCCACGTGACAACAGAAACCAGTGGTTAGAGATTCTGGATGATATGGCTCAGAAGCGATGTCAGTGGCGCAGACGTATCAATACATTATCTTAGTCTTAATTGTTATACTGAATTCAGCATTTTCTCATCCCTACATCTTCTCTTTTACTGCCTTTGACCGATTTTCTTTCGTTCTTCATCTTTCATCTTATTGGTTTGTTACTTGGCGTGCTGACATGAGTTTTGACAACTTGGCCTGATGCGGAGTAATGCCTGGTTCTGTGTTGATATTGATGGGGGTGATGAATTGTATTTGTGTGATGGACCGTTCCCTCTATGTCAACATACTTTATTACATTTTTCTGTGTAAATTTAGGTATAATATTTTTATTTGATTCTTTTATTCAGAACAGCATTCATCGTAGGAATAATGTCGCATGTAAAGTTTCCCATCAAACTGAAGATTCAAGTTTGTTTTTTGTACCTTTAACTAGTTTATATGTCTTTTATTCGAAGTGATACATTAAATCGTGAAAGAAATGCGGGTAACCGGAATATTGTGCTTTGGAAGACGAATGCGTCGTGATAAACTTCAATTTCTGACCAATCGTCATTGGCGTAAAGTGGGTTCGCAACTGTATGTTGATTGTTTACGTATTCCTGAACATGTCGTAACCAATCCAAATAATCCTATTAAAAAGGCAGAAAACATGTTCAAGTCCACCAGGTATGAAGATAACCTCATGAAAGAAATCGAAATCGGAGTGACTACAGAAGAAGCTTATTTAATTGAACAACAAAATGCTGAAAGGTTAAAAACTTTCCATCCTCTTTTTGGAGATCCGCGTTGCCATCAGGATTCTGAGCCATCACTAATCTTTTCTAAAACACGACGTTTTGAAAAGGGTGTGGATCAAGCCAGTCTTTTGACAAATGTGAGTTCGTACAATGAATATTTTTATTTTGCGGTTCTTTGCCATTCAGTATGAAGTACGCAAGTTATAACGTTCAGCATTTACCAATTATTTTAGGAGTCTTTGCCAAATATTCGTTATAATTTCTACGTTTGTTGTGAATAAGATGTGTGCTTCGTAATTCCATAGTGTTGAGGTCTGCTCCCTAGCACTTGAAGTTCTGGGTGCTAACTTATAGTCTCATTGGGATGCAGATAGATCCAACCGGCTGATCTCAAGTCTAATAAAATACACGTCCTTAATACCACTACTAGTTATTCAACCAAGTCGTACAAACTGTTTAATTATCGGAAGATTGTAACTTCATACTGGAGTTAGTATTGAAGTTGTCTAGAAAGACGATGAAAGCTCCACGAATAAATAACTCAGCTCAAAAAACACAATACAAATAAGATTGTTAATGTTTCCATCCCGGTCACCTTTTTCAATATAATTGTAGTCACTATATTGAATAACTCGCTTGTGTTATATTATTATCGACTATGGTATGTGACAGTTGACGCGATACTCCATATAATAATAATAATAATTATTTTTCCCTTGGGTTCCTAGTGGAACATAGGGCCTCAGTAGCACGCCTCCATTTTACTCTATTCTCTGCAGTCTTATCAACCTCGCTCCACCACTGCCCACAAGCTTTCATTCCTTCCTCACATGATCTCCTCCATGTCACCCTCAACTATAACGCCCCAATCATCGTTTCCCATTTGGGTTCCACTCGACGACCTGGTCTGGCGCGTAATGTGTCCCCAATCGGTCTTCTCAGTGTATGCCCAATCTATCTTCACTTTCTCCTGCCTATTTGTTAGGCGATAGGTTCCTGGTTGGTTCGTTCCCAGAGTTCCTTGTTGCTTATTATTTCTCGCCATCTGATCTTGAGTATTGAGTCAGTAAAGGTGTCAGATGTTGATGAATGTCTTTAGTCTGTTGGAAGTGCTTTACGTGACGCGCCAAGTCTCTGAACCATATAGCACAACTGACTTGACATTGGTGTTGGAAATCTGGATCTTGTTCACACTGTATGTTGAGTGGAGTGGAGTGCAGTAGATCTCCACACTGGTTTCAGATTGATGAATGCCTGTCTTGCTGCTTTTTCCGATGCTGGCTTTGACGTCCTCATCTGTGCCAGTGTCACCTGTCTGTAGTTGAAACGATGCTGTCCTGCCTAGGTAGGTGAAAGGGACTACTTCCTTTGGGTTTCTCCCGTTAATGGTGATTGGTGCTTGTTGTTGTTGTTGGTTGGGTATCTTCATTAACTCTGTCTTCTCTACGTTCAATTGAAGTCCCGTTTTCGCTGCCTCGCCTCTTCTGTCAACCAGTTGGTTTTTGCCTGTAGATCTTCGAGTTTGTGCGATAAGACATTAGACATAAATCATCATGGGCGGAATCCAAATCTGCTTCTGGGGTCCTTTCATCGGTCCAGCCAGGGTATGCGCATCTTCTCACAGCTCCTCACAGTTGTCTGTTGCATGATCTAGTCCAGTCCAGTCCAGTCGACGACAATCAGGAAGATGATCGGTGGTAGTAGGCGGCAGCCTTGTCTTACTCCTGTCCCCTGTCTTCACTCCAAAGAGTTCACTGAGCTTTCATTGTGGATCACTTGGCATGTAGCACCACATAGCATCCAGCTGCTGTTGAGTGAGGTTGATCAAGGTTTGTGGCACTAAGATCGTAGTGTTGAAGCAGCAGTTGCCGAAATACTTCTCGGTCGACACTATCGAAGGCCTTTTCAGTGTCGATGAAGTAGAGGTAGAGAGGTAGGTAGAGATTTGACTGCCATTCTATACTCTGTTCTATGGTGATGAGTAGTGTAGCGTTGTAATTCGATCGGGATATGATTTGTTCTTCTTGAAGGCATCAAACCTGTTCCTGTTGTAATTTCGAATGCGGAGTATCTTTTAGTCTTTCCAGGATGATGCGGCATAATATATTGGTTTGGGTGGAGACAGGAGTGGAGCATGATTCCATGCCAGTTCTTGTAAAGGCTTAGGTCTCCCTTGTTTGGGAGTTTGACAAGGTAGTCCTTCTCCCAATCAATTGGAAGGTACCTTTCCTTTGCAAACCTTGTGCAGCAGTGGTGTGAGCATGTCCGCTGTTGTCTCTGCGTCTGTTTTCAGTGCTTCTGGTGGAATTCTATGTGGTCCTGCTGCTTTCCTGGATTTCAGCAACTTTATGGCGCAGCGTTCAGGACTTCGCTTCTGCTTTTGTTTGAGTGTTTGTGTTCACTGGTGGTTCTGCGGTTGTCGGTGATATTTCTGTACTAGTTGCAGTTGGTAATGGTGGTGGTCGATTGAAGAGCTTTTTAGAAGTGGTCAGTCCATTGTTCCCTTTGTTTCTCCTCTTTGGTAACTAAGTTTCCTTCACTTTCTTTCATTGGTCTCATCTGTGTTGATCTCTTCCCTCCCAGATAGTAACCTGGTTATTTGATACAATGTTGTCAGGTCTCTGTCTCTCCTACCAGCAGCCTGTTCTGTTTCACTTGCCAGTGTGTCGTAGTGTTGTGTGTCTTTTGTCTTTGCGTGCACTCTTTTTCACTTCTTTGTCCAGTGTTTTGCACGTTGCACTCAGTTCGTCTTTTCGTTGTGCGTCCTTGCACTTGTTCATCTTGTGTTTCACCATCTCCCTCTTCCTCCTCTATCAGTTTGCATGTCGGGATCTGTCGAGATCCATTCCTTGTCTTGTCTCTTCTTCATTCCTAACAGGGTTATGCAGGTTTCTTCCCACGTCGGTTTCAAAGAGTTCCAGTGTTATTCCACACAGGTTTCTTCAGGGATGTTGCATAATGTCTCCCATTTTGTCCTGCTAACTGACTGACGTGAAGATGTTCTTTTGTAGTTTCGTCCTTCAGTTCAGTTTCTGTTGTGGGTGGTTGTTCAACTTGAACTGTGATCGATGATCACGAACTTCTGTGGAGGCTTTCCACTTGATTTTGAAGGTAGGTTCCTTGCACTAGATAGTGAAGTGAGTGGTGTGAACCTACATTTGCTCCCCTTCTAGATCTGATCTTGTGTCGAGTAGTCTGGCTGCGTCTCCACTTTCTTCACATTGAGATGAAATCGATCTGATTTTTAGTGTAGTGTGTCCTGGTGTCTGGCGAAATGAGATCCATGTCACTGCCTTGTGAATATCCTTGTGTTTGTACAGACTGCCTGGTCTGCAATCACGAAATCGTTGAATGCTCAGAAGTCTGCAAACAGTTCTCCATTGTTTTTGATCATTTCAGCGGGTGCTTCTCTACCCATGGTTGGTTCTCTTTGTGTGTTGTCCGCTCCCAGTTTGGCATTCATGTTACCCATTGGAATTTGATGTCGCCAACTGGAGTCTTGTCCAGTGTTGATTGGAGTTGTCTGTAGACTTCCTCCTTCTTCTCTTGATCTGCATAATTTGTAGGTGCATAGCGTAGCATTGAATGATTGTGACTTTCGTTCCTTATTTTTGAGTTGAGTCTTGCTGTGATGATCCTGATTGTGGAGGAGGATTAGGAGGATGAGGATGAGGATGAGTGTGAGGAGGAGGAGATAGGTTCCCACTGCATGAGAGAGGGAGAGAAATAGAGAGAGCCTTCGGTGCTTTTGCGGGCCTTCTTCAACAAACCTTATATCTCACACTTCCATTAAAGCAATATTTGACCGGCCTCAGAAAGATATCCTCTGGGCTCTGCGGTCTTGGACTAACCATTGTTTTTCAGGCACCTCAAGCAGAACTAGCCTTCCACAGCGTGGGCAGCAGCGTGACGGTTGCCCTCACAACTCCGTCAGCACTTAATATGACTCAGATCCCTATCCACCTTCCACAACTTTAACGACTGATCCTCCACGTTTCTCGGCAGATAATCCTACATCATCATTAATTTCTTCCATCTCTGCAGGTCTTGACAACATATGAGTTCACGAAACAATATCCGTGGTCTTCTAAAACCACACTACAGCTTCCAATGTCCGCACACTAAATTGCGAGTGCATCTCCAAAATGAAAGCACTAACGTCTTTTTCACCGAGCAATTGGCCAGACAGTTGTCGGATCAGGGCAACGCCATTCATGTGGAAAAACCCTGTAGCCATCCCCAGCATGCTATAAGAACAGCATTGAAGACCGTAGCTGACTCTGAGAGAATGGTTACAATGAAACAGTGTATCGCAGCAACTTCGTCCGAATAAATAGATGCACGCCAGCACATCTCTGCAGCCTTTACGGAATGACCGTGAACGGTTGTGGTTCGCGAAGACTGAAGAGATGGAAAAGGCAGCAGTGACAATTAGCAGTAGACAGTTATTCGAACTCATTAAGGAAGCTGCATGGAGAGGAGGGAAAGGTCAGCGGTTAATGAGACTACAGTGGGGGAAGAATGGTGTATTTCGCTCGGAGAGTAGACGACTACTGAACTGTTAAGTGGAACACTACGAGGAACAGTTCATCTGGCTTTCAGCTACTATTCTGTTGCTTGCTATCGAGTTGTAGCCTGAATGGAACATCGGTATGGTATCTCTACCTCTGACGTTTGCAGAAGTCAAGAAGGCTGTAGGTAGCCTGAAACCTGAGAGGGCAAGGGAGCTGGATGGACTAGTACTAGAGGTATATGAAGACGGTGTTGGGGGATTATTTGTCATGCTAACTGTAGTACTAGTTGGTGTATGTGAGTGAGATATGATCCCTCTGACCGGTCTCATTCACTGATTGTCACCATGTTGAAGAAAGGTTCGAAATCATCCTGTGATTACCACCCAGGATAATCAGTGTGACAAACATTGTATCTAAGAGTCTCAGGTTTCTGATCATTCGACTTCTGAGTGTAGCTCAGGAACGGCAAATACGAGAGAACCAGGCAGACAGAAACGATTCAGACCTGGTTGTGTGTGTGTGTGTTTGGGCCAGGGCTTCACACTCCACCAGGTTGTGGAACTCACACGCACCGCCTGTCGATACTGTCTGTATTTCTTGACGTCGAGGTGGCATTCGGCTCC